TTTTGTAGAATCGATGAACAAATACGACAATAATAATGATAATAATAATAATAACTTTCGATTTATTTAGTGCATAAAAATGAATAATTAATTATGCACTATGCATTAAAAGAGTATGCTTTACAATCTACATCAACATCTTTTATAAGAGGATAAATAACTTACTACATGCTCACCGACACATTAAAACAAGAATTGAAACACTACTGTAAGAAAAGATGTGTCTTTAATTCTTTCTTAAAGATATAGACCGGTAGTGGTAAACTTGCGGTTCAAGGGTTTTGGGTGCAAAATATACATTCAATATTGTTTAAATATTGCCTTCAGAGGTTAAGTTGGCAATACTTCAACCTAAATTCGCAAAAAGCAGAAATATATGTCCAAATGTTTAATGTTGAAGTGCATTCGCGATATCTATCCAGGCCAGATCAATATGATAATTTACCAAATATATCAATTAGTAGGCGGTTTCCTGGCAAAATTTGTATCATCACGTATTAGTCAAAAGATATTCTTTCACATGATTGGTAATAAGAGCTTCCATTTTATTTTTTGACAGGGGGCATTTCCAAAACTGATCTATACCTTTAAAATCATTTAGGGAAGATGTATTCCTGAGTCGTCAAGGACAGAGACTTCCACAGAGCTGGAGCCGAAACCGAAACCACAAAGGATCGGTCTCCATAACTGATGTAGTGTACGTACTGGATTATGCTCACGAATTAGATCCGACGTAAAAGATGGAGCAAGATTATTTTGTGCTTTTTATTTAGGCTCCCCACATTTTACATTGTATTACCTTACTCGTCATATCTATATGTTGTGAAACTTTGTACCTATTTTCCGTACATTATACTTGATTTGAAATCTTTAAAATTGTGTGTAATCTATGCTTATACGCTTGTATATATAAAACAAAGTTGTTTTTGATGTAAACGTGGACAAAATAAACTTCAAACTTCAAACATGATGAGATTTAGATTGCAACACGTTTTTCAATGGGCAACCAGTGTAGTTTCTTTAGAAGTGACGGAATCTATTGAACGAGCACCACCATTAACTTTGTTGCTGTGTTTAAAATTCTCTGAACCCGGTATAATTCCCTTTTTCGCAAGGCCAAACAACAATACATGATAATAGCAGATGTTTTGTGTGTAAACAGACAGTCATCAAGACCACAATTTCATTATTTTTTATGCCTCCGTTACGAAGTAGCCGGAGGCATTATGTTTTCGGGTTGTCCGTCCGTCCGTCCGTCCGTCCGTACGTCTGTACGTACGTCTGTACGTACGTCCCGTTCTCGTGATCACGTTATCTGAAGAACGGATCAATGGATTCCTACCAAACTTTGGTCATATATGTATCTAGCAAAGTCGATGAACTGATTAGATTTTGGGGTCACGAGGTCAAAGGTCAAAGGTCACAGGGCTCATTATGTATGCAAAAACAGCTCGTGATCGCGTTATCTGAAGAACCGATGGATGGATTCCTGCCAAACTTTGGTCATGTATGTATCTTGTAGAGTCGATGAACTGATTAGATTTTGGGGTCACGAGGTCAAAGGTCAAAGGTCACAGGGCTCATTATGTATGCAAAACGGCTCGTGATCGCGTTATCTGAAGAACCGATAGATGGATTCCTGCCAAACTTTGGTCATGTATGTATCTTGCAGAGCCAATGAACTGATTAGATTTTGGGGTCACGAGGTCAAAGGTCAAAGGTCACAGGGCTCATTATGTATGCAAAAACAGCTTGTGATCGCGTTATCTCAAGAACCGATTGATGGATTCCTGCCAAACTTAGGTCATGTATGTTACTTGCAGAGCCGATGAACTTATTAGATTTTGGGTAACGAGGTCAAAGGTCAAAGGTCACAGCGCCCATTATGTATGCAAAAACAGCTTGTGATCGCGTTATCATTAGAACAGATTGATGGATTCCTGCCAAACTTAGATCATTTATGTATCTTGCAGAGCCAATGAACTGTGTAGATTCTTGGTTCATAAGGTCCAAGGTCATGGGCTCATTATGTATGCAAAAATAGCTTGTGAACGCATTCTCATTAGAACTGACAGATGGATTACTATTTAACTCTGGATATCTTGCAGAGCCAATGAGCTGAGTAGATATTAGGATCATGAGGTCAAAGTTCAAAGGGTCATATATGTATATGAGAAATTGTTTGTAATCACGATATTCTGAGAACCTGTTAATGGATTACAATTGAACTTGAATTTGAAAAATTTCTTCTGTTTTGGTTTGTAAAATTGCTCTATGACGGAGGCATCATTTTCGACTGCGCGCAGTCGAATTCCATCTAGTTTCAAATGACTTCCCTTTCACTGCTGTTATATTTCCGCGTTATAAGGGATATAGCGAAGTACACGGTTTCTGTTCTCTGTATATAGGGCCAAAACTGCATGAAGAAATAAAGTAAAGGTACAATGATTCCTATTCCAGCGACAACAAATGTTTTTTGTGTAAACAGAACAAGTTGAACTGTCTCTGAATTGGGTTGTTGGTTAACAAACTAGTTAGAAAAAAATGCGAATTAGTTAGAATGGGTTTGGACGTATTGTGAATGAGTTACAACTAGTTAAAGGGCAATTCAACCCGTGTAATAACTTGATTTGTATGCCAGCGGGAAACTAACAGAAACAGAAGGGCAAAAGTTTGAAATGAATCGGACAAATAGAAAGGAAGTTATGAATGTTTAAATAATGAGATCACTAAGTCTATGCTAATCTCAAATTGGCAGTTCGGTCAGTAGATTGTGACATAGGACGTGGATAACTCTCCCATGTGCCGTGTACAAAAATATCATTAATTTCAGTTTTTTGGAGTCATTCTATATAAATTATGTTGGAACAGATGAGAAAGTAGTCCAGCGCTACATCACTTTGACATTACCGCTTCAGCCAATTTGAACTGCCCATACGTATAGTGATTACAACTTTCAAAAATCCATAACTTTCTTAATCTGTTTAGTCAGATTTAATTGAAACTTTATAATTTTGCTTCTCCGATTTTTTTGTTTTCTTTTAAGAATAATTATGTATTGGGGTAAGATTTCCCTTTAAGAACATGTTTAAACTGACTTCGGACGGGCTTGGAATGCTTGGAAATGGAAAATTTACCCCGATCTGAACTTGATTATGAACTGACTGTGGACGGGGTACAGACGAGATGGATGTATTGAGGTCTGTTTATGAACGAGCTAGGATCGTTCATAGACATTATTTACACATTACACCCCGATCACAACCCGTTTTACGATTATCTAGGACAGTTCCAGATCGTAGTGAGAACAAGACTAGTTTGATATGATGGTATCTCCTTGGTGTGATGGGGGCTTTCATTCCCGCTCTCAAAACCTCGGTACGATTGCGGTCTTCGGCAACGTAACTCTCCTCGCTTCCCTTGCGATCGCACGCACAGTGGCGACAAGTCTTGCGTGCGCACGTACTTCTTACCCACAAATCGGAATGAGCAAAAATCGACCGTTTTTTAAGGTTTTTTGTCCAGTAGTGTCAATGGCAGTCCAAACAAATCTACGATTTTTCTAAAAGGACTTTTGGATGTGTAAATTGGCCTTTTAACAGCAAACATTATTTTCGTTAGAATATCACTTTTTGACAATTGACAAGGGGGATGCGGTATATAAACCAAATATTGACGGATTATTTTTCAGGTAACAGTTAAAAAACTATAGCTCATCGGTGATTTTGCGAGACTTCTTCTCGAGACAAAGTTTCGCGGCACTGTTCAGTTTTGAGATCACCTAGGGCAATAGTTTTAACCGTGCCCTTCAAAGCAGTCAATATTTGTATGAAGTCAAATTTTTATCGAAAGTGCTTGATGGTGTTTGCTTGACTATTAATGTTAGTCGAGCGAGATGCGTAAATATTTACTAGCACATAAGAGATCACGTTTGAGATTTTACCTGGAACTTATCCAACTCCATGAATCTCATCACGTTGTCGGCTATTGTGATTGCTAGTGCTATAGGGTTAGACCTGTCTATGTACTAGGTGGAAAGCTTGACGACGTCTCCCTGATTTTACTTCTCCCATTTGCAAATTTTTCGCGCTTTTCAGCTAAATTAAGTTCGCTAAATTGCGCCTTTAGGTAAATGTGGTCTCACATTTAGCTAAAAAATTGAGTTGGGACCCTACATATTTGCTTGGGGACCCCTCATTTTTTATTTTTATATAAGAAAAGGAACAAGTTACTAATCAAAAGATTTTTCAGTCTTCCCGTTATGAAAATGTGCTTATAACCCCATCAGGATTGGGTTTTTCCTCTTTAATAAATGTACTTTTTCGCACTGCGACCTCACATATCTTAAATTTTTTCCTCGCTCGCTCGAAAATGAATCTTCAGACCATCACACCAAACTGCAAAGTATGATGCTTAAGCAATAACTTGTATAATGAATAACGAGAACAAGTTTAAAATCAACCCTGATATTGTAATCACAATGTACGGGTATATACCAATGTCTAAAAAATTGCATATTTTCGCTTTGAGATTTCCCTTTGAAGGTGTCCTTTTTTCTCCTGAAAGTGCCCTTTTTTGTTGGTGCCCCCCCCCCCACTTTGGAAGTCGCTCCGCCGCCCCTGGGTCCATGGGCGTGAATGCTGCAGATTTCTGAACATGCTAGTGCAGTGACCCCTAAGTTACCACAATATTGATTTAGATATCCGGCCATCGGTATGATTCGCACAACCTTGTGTGCTATACAGAAAATCACCTCAAATTTCCCCAGATCTTTTGAACACGCGGAGATCGAACTCCCAATATAGCTTCGTGCCTATAGAAATATTAATCACAGCAAAATTGATGTATATGCTGCATGAATTCGTTTGGTACTTTGCCCTCTAGCTAACCCTTGAGAACAATACTTCCAGTAGTGTATGAAAGGATGAACCATCGGTGCATAAACATGATGAAATGAAAAATTATTGTGTACATTTGTACATCATCCGTCTCGATTGGTTTTACCGTTTAGTACACGATGTTTATCTGCCCATGTGATGATAGCTAGTACCTCGAAAAATTCTGATTAAATATCCTACAAAACAACGATCTATCTGTAAAAGCCGAATGGTTGACATATTAGTATGATGGCGCTGTGGACAAGCGCGGCCCTAGTCGCAGTGACTGCCGTGGCGGTGTTGTGGTTGCCTGGCTTCTTTCGACAGCAGCCTCCTGTGATCGTCGACGGGTTCGTAGCAAAAGGATTCGAAGAGGTTGAGGAAGCCTTCCGGTGAGGATATGACACACATTGTGATTTTCTCCTTATTTTAGTCAGAGTATAGTGTGATTCATACGAAAGAACACTTTCATGATCACAATAGTGAAGAACATTAGACCTGTTTTTAACTTACATGTATTTAATGTCATGCAATGTCTCTCCCCAATGGCCCTTCATTAGGGTCCACATGCGAAACAAATATATTTAGTGGAATCTCTACAGATATAATTCAATTTGCATATGTTAGCTGTTGCTATGTATGGCAAGCCTCTGAGTTTTTAATTGATACCTTTCTTCAATTAGAAGAAGGCCTATATGCACTTAATCAGTCAACAGTCTATAGAGCGCAAGATAAGCCATGATCGAATTACGTAAATATTTTAATAGATCTGGCGGTGTTTCACAAAGACTAAAATCGACTTTAAGTTGGACTTAAAGATAAACTCCAGTTCTGGTAAAAAAAAAAAAAAATAATTCTCACAGAATCAAACGAAACTGAATGTTTAAGATTACAAATAAATGACATGTGCCGAACAATTTTGGAAGAAAATGTATACTGGCTGAGTAATGAGCATAGAAAGACAAGGAAATCAAGGTAGTACTAGCCCCCGACACCATGTGTGTTGTCCCATATATAGCTTTCTGTGTACAGTGCTTGTTACTTTACCAAGACCCGGTCAAATTTATTATGATTTTGATGACTCCAGAACATTACAGTGCACACCAATACTTACATGCTACATGATCAACTTTTTTCTGATCCATTCCTCACCTTTTCTTTCACAATGCAATAGCATTACCAGTACTAAAGTTTATCTTTAATTGTGACAAGCCATTCATGCCACCGGTTGCTCTCACTATTCGTCTCTCAATTATGATCTTTAGATACTATTTTTGTCCTTCAATAATGATCTATCAATAAATGTAAATTCTGTAGATTTGTGACCACGATTTAAACATCCCTTCAGAGACCAATGCCAGTAAATGGTAAGAGCAAACAGTGGCATGAACTGCCTGACATAGTTAAGTCGAAATTAAAGTCGATCTTAGTCTTTGTGAAACACCCCCAGTTTACTAATGTATTTTAATGTTTACAGGTTTTTTCCCCTAACCCCTGGTTATCAGTCCCACTCATATGCTATGAATAACCATGGCACCTCTATTGGTGGAATTAAATTTGCAGCATTTGTTGTTACCATGCTGGGTAAGCCTATGGCAAACTTTTCAGTCGTCACGAAAAACCTGTGTTCAAAGTATCAGTAAACAAGTATATTGCCGCCGTTTATGTTCTTTATTGAAAGAAGTTGCGATTGTGTTATATATCATTATACACAAGAGTAACATTGATTAATATATGAAATCAATCAATACATATCTTTGGACTAGCCTGTATTATGAAATCCGCCAAACCTGTGGACATAGCCCCTATGATAAGCTCAGAGAAACCGAGCGAAGTTAAGGCATAGGACAACCTCATGCATGCGAGAAATCTTTGAAAAACACAAATAGAGTTTGCAGTAAACACTGTACTCTAAACCTATTATATTGATTTAACATGTCGTATTACATTTTCCCGAATTTATAAATACGTACGCCATTCCCTCCGCTTTCACCTCCTGTTCCTCTTCCTCCCTCTCCTTCTCCTAATCCCTCTTTGACTATTTCTCCAACTCCAACGCCCCTCCAGAGTTCTCTCCAAGTATATTTCTGTTTGTGCTTTCTATGACGTTTTATCATAAAGAAGGTCACTATTGCCTCGTCGATGTTTAGTATGTTTGTTTCTTTCTGCCATCATTGACGAAATCTAGATCTGTTTGTCCGTGGTCTGTCAGTCTGTCTGTCAGTCTGTCTCTCATTCTTTCTCTCTCTCCTCTCTTCTCTCTTATTTCATGATAATCGTCGTCATCATACTTGAAAATATGATGAATCATTATCATCTCTTTCATTTTAGTTATTATTATTTTTGTTAATATTATCATTATTATCATCATCATAGTTATAATTATGATAATAATGATAATACTAATAATAATAATTATTATTCTTTCATTATCATTGATATAAGTAGCAGCAGCAGTAGTAGTAGAAGTAGTAGTAGGAGTAGTAGTAGTAGTAGTAGTAGCTGTAGTAGTAGTAGTAGTAGTAGCAGTAGTAGAAGTATAAAGCATTAGTAATAGTAAAATTAGTACATGAGTATCATTATCATCATTTACGAGTCAAATCACCATTTCTCCCCCATTGCAGGAGAACCTATGAAACAAACTTAAACCCTCGTGAAGGGGGTTCGGCCTTTTCAGTCTACTACAAGGGAGAGAAGGTTGTAGACATCTGGGGAGGCTATGCCGACTTCGAAAGCAGACAGGAATGGAGAAGAGATACGATATCAGTTTTCTTCTCTTCAACAAAAGGTTAATAATAATAATAATAATAATAATAATAATTATGTTTAATTTTTATATAGCGCTTAATACAAATATCTCTAAGCGCTTTACAAATATACTATTACCCCCGGTCATTGGATTCAGTGCTTGCCCGCACACACTGAGTGCACAATCTCCACTCCCTGGGGAGCATTCCAGCCAGGCGTTACATGACGCTCAAAACTGTTTGACCAACAATGACGGTCGCATCCTACAGGGTACCCATTTAACACCTGGGTGGAGAGTAGCAAGTGCAGGTTAATATATTGCCAAAGGATATTAGTGCCGTGTCGGGATTTGAACCCTCGACCTTTGCATCTCCAGTCAAGCGCCTTAAACCACTCGACCACGACACTCCTACTCTTTTTATTTATTGTAATGTTTTCTCTATATTTGCATCAAGGTGTTGCAGCCATCTGCATCGCCATGTTGGTAGAGAGGGGTCTCTTGGACTATGATAAACCAGTATCTCTATACTGGCCAGAGTTTGCTCAGAAGGGCAAGGGGAATATTACCGTCAGACAACTTTTGGAACATCAGGTAAAATTTGTAAATTTTTAAATGAATCAGTAAATACATTTGTTTGAATTTTTGTTTATTTGTTTGTTTGTTTCTTTCTTTAGTTAATTATTGTAATGCATTCATTCATTCACTCCTTTATTGATAAGTTTATGAAACTTTTTATTTATTCAAATAATTAATCATTAATTAATTATTAACTTATTGACATATTAAACCTATTTATTCATAGTAATATTAACATCTGGACAAGTAAGATCTAGACCTCTGATGGATTCCAGGCCCTCTTTGATAAATGTAGAGGGAGTTTGGGTGAATAGTTTCGGGTGACGTAATTTTGAAGTTTTCACATGTTCTTATAGGCCTGCAGAACATCCAATATCATTTTTTTTTTGGCTGCTTATGTTTTCCGAACAGGAATATTCTATCATCATATGAATTCAACAAACTTCTACATCGCCTCCTCCCTCCTTCTCTCTCTCTCTCTCTCTCTCTCTCTCTCTCTCTCTCTCTCATATATCTTTCTCTCTTTCTCTTCGTCGCACTCTTATATCTCTCTCTGTCTCCTTTTTCCCTCCTCCTCCGCCTCCTTGTTCTTATTCTTCTTCATGCTCTTTCTCTTTTTGTCTCTCCATCTCGATGAAAGGCAGGTCTCGTATTGGCCGCACCTCCCGGCTTGAGCTTCGACCTCCTTAGCGACGTCGCCAAGGCAGGTGATCGGATGTCATCGACCGAGCCGTTGTGGGATGTCGACGGGAAGACTCACGGTTATCATGCGATCACCTTCGGTCCTCTCACCAATGAGCTTCTCCGGAGGGTCGATCCGAAACACAGAACTATGGGTCAATTCTTCAAAGAGGAGCTGGCACAACCGTTTGGTAATAGTGCAATGATAATCAAAAATAAATCTTCATTCACACCGCCCAAACAACTAGAAAACAACCAATGTTTGGCCCTTTAATGCAATCTACGATGTTGCCAATAAAGTTGCAATATTTTTTCTTGCCTCCTTTTATGAAATGATTGTGACAACATGTCATTTATTTTCTCGACAGATAACGTTTATATATTCTTTGAACTGATTGATCAATTCCCAAGACAGATTGATCAATACAGTTCTGAGAAGATATTGGGTGGTATCCTCGAAAGCGGCCTAAGTTAAATCCATGGACTAAACCTTGTTTAAACCATGGATCAGTTAGTCCACCTTTCGAGAAATGAAAATGACTTAGTCCATGGACTAAAGTTAAGCCTGGCCTAACTAATCCACGGACTAAGTTAGGCCAGGTTTAACTTAGGCCGCTTTCGAGAATACCACCCATTAACTTTATCTATAACGAAAAAGAAATCGTATTATCACAATCGTTTCATTAAAAAAAAGGAGGTTAGAGAACAATATTTAAACTTTATGGGCAACAGTGTAATCTGTGTGCGGTCCGCCGCCGATCTGGCGTTTATATTTGTTTTCTTCTTTTCCCTTTCAAATTACCTTCCTCATTTGATAGTGGTAGGGGCGGGGGGGGGTACGCTAATTGGTATCGTATTGATTACATATTCTAGGTTCGATTCGACGGTTTTTATCTGAAGTTGGTTAGGCCATACTCTGACCATTATTTGCCCTAATTCTTTTGATGGAAACTTTTATGAATGTCTAAGACAATTGCAAACAGAGCTGTCCGTTGTATGACCATATGGGATTACACTTCCCCTAGATCACATATGATTGCATGACTCTTAAATGTTAATCTATAGCGTTGTCCGTCATTATAGTAGGAACTTTTAGATTTGCGTGGACTGATACGTGTGACGTCCATTCAAGGCAGTGCATTAACAGGACGTCGATCGTAGCAATCCACGTTGTCGTTGTGCAAATCTAAAAGTCCCTATTGAAATGAGCGGACATGGCAATGACGTAATCTGAACGTGATTCCTATGGGATGTAAAATAGCGTGATGAAATTGCACTTGGCTTGATTTCTCGAAAGTCTTTACGGTATAAATAATTTTAGATTTATTTCGATGAGAAAGGAAGACTCGGTATAACTTGACTTATGTTTTCCCAACAGGTCTTGACTTCTACATTGGTCTGCCTTTGGAAGAGAACTATCGCACTGCGAGATTGTTGGGTGGCGGTTCAAACGTGATAACAGATCTGCTTCAAGGTATAAGCAGCCCTACAAACAGACAGATAATACTCCACATGATGCAAAGTGATCTCTTAACGCGTATTATTGAAAACTCGGGCATTGGAAACGTAAGTCATGCAATGGCATCGCTAGACCGTAAATGGTAAGGGGAGGGGTAGTACGATTCAAGCTTCTGAGACAAATCCTGCATCAACCGGATTCCTAACTTCAACCCTTGACCGATCATTGTACCTAACTCTAACCCTTAACCTAAACTACAATACAATTGCAACCCTAACCCTATAACCCTATACTTTTGACAAAATTAAGCCCTGAGCAATGTCTGATAGCCCAAGGGGGGGGGGGGGGTGACAAACAAAATAAAGTGTCAGTTTGCCGAAAATCTCATAAAAAACACCAAGGCACCATCTAATTTTCAAATTTCGTGACATAAATCTTGAAAATGGCCGTCAGAATTTTACCAGACGGGAGCTATCAGTACACACTCCTTCTCCTTCTCCTTTGGTTCAAATGATGAAGAACAATACTTGATCGGTGTAATATTTGTTATCGTTGCCTTTTGTTTGTTGTTTTATTTTTCAGATTGCCGTTTTAAACAACCCCTACAACAGACAAGTGGAACTGCCATCAGCTTTGGGCATAGGCACTGCAGAATCGGTTGCCAAGGTAACAAAACATTAACAGCATTTAATGATAAGCCGGGATGGGATTCAAACTCTGAACCTTTTGATTGAGAATCAAGTAAATGAACTGTCCTGTCATTTCCACCTAAGTACGTCAATAAGTATTCATGTCTTTATTAATATCCTAAAACTATTACCAATTATTGCGAATGTTCCTCTTTTCGTTTATCGCCTTTGTCTTTCATTTTTCTCGATTATTTAGAAAGTAATTATTGCCTATTCTTGACAGGAACTTCGGCGGAAATAGCACGGCATTCCTCCCCCCCAATAACTATTGAGTGGTTGTTTCTTTACTACAGTTATATGGTATTCTAGCAGCAGGTGGGGTGGATAGCTGGACGAACCGCACTCTTCTGACCAAGCCCATTCTTAGCAAACTATTCACCTCGACCCCGCCCACTTTTGACAAGACGCTTGGCGTACCGATCGCATTTAACTTAGGCCTCATGGTATTTGACTCAGTGGTAAGTATTGGCCTAACGTGCAGGCCCGTAACCACGAGCGGGGGGGGGGGGGGGGGGGGGGGGCACGTGCCCCCAATTTCTTTCCAAGATCAGTTGAACTTTTTGAGACCCTCCCCATGACGTCGATCAAATATATGTATGTGCCCCCCCCCCAAAAAAAAAAAAATAAATAAAAAAAAATCAAACTCTGGATACGACCCTGCTAACCTGCAGTGGCGGGTCCAGAAAATCCAAATGGAAGGAGGAGGGGGGGGGGGTGATTATGATAAATGTAGAGGTGTCGTGGTCTAGCGGATACGTCTTCGGACTGTGGGTCATGTGGTTGGCGGTTCGAGTCCTGCTGCGTGCGTAACTAATTCCTTTGTAAAGATATTAATCTACATTTGCCATTCTTAAACCCAGGTGTGCAATGGAGACCAATAGGAAGGAATTCCTTGAAATATTTAAGCACCGAAATGGGTAGCCTGGCAAAGCCGGGGTACTATTAGAGCGCCTTGAGCACTTTGTGATATGTGCGCCATTGAAATATCCATTATCATTAATAATTAGGCTTTATAAACACGAGTTAAATTCAGGCTCTCACTTACAGAGCGTCCCCTCTTATACAGCGTTTCATTTGACTGACATTTTGGGTTGTGTTGGGGGATAGGAGTAGGGGGCAACATTTTGACTGAAATCTTGGTACCGGTGGCATAGTCTGAATCCACCCATCAAGCTTACGACATATAGGTAAACATTTGCGCAAAGCTGGTTGCGTTCAGGTAAAGTTTTTATGGGGGTTAATAAATACAACTGCGCAAGCACCGATGGAAATATCGGTTCCACGCAATATAAGTTTGTCATTTGACACTTATCATCACGTTTTCCTCACATAAAAGATAAGACCCTTCACAGAATACGGTCCTAGAACTCATCGTTATTATGACGTCATTATTCATATGCAGGAAGGGGAGATACTGTATGGACATCCCGGTGCAAGAGGACAGATAGGGTTCGCTGACCCCAAGAATCAGCTCGGGATGGGGTTTGTGAGCAATACTATGTCACCTTTCTTCCTCCGTGACGACCCGAGGACTGGTGCCCTGCTGTCCGCTCTCTACAAATGCACGCGAAGAATCGAGAACAAATAATGATAAGAATTGAAGAACGTAAAAGTTTGCTGATACAGAAATAGAAATTACCTTATCCTCACTAAAAAAGCAAGTTGAATAAAATCTTTTAAAATTAATATTTTGGACAGGGAGTTGGAAAATTAAAAGCATAATATTATCCGAAATAAAGATGGCAATGAATTATATTGTGTTTATATTATGTTTATTGATACGGCATTGTATATGACAGCCCGTCCAGGTCTAGAAATAGCTTTTATGAAACAGGTGGCCGTTTCTCGGTACCGTCATAAGTCTAACTTCTCGGACATCCCGTTCAAACGTGTGTAAAAGAATTAACATGCATTTCTATGCGATGTCCACGAACTAAGACTTATGACGATTTCGAGAAACTGGCCCCAGGGTCCTAATGGAAGCCTGCTGCAGCTGGGCCTACCAATTGTCACATTTTTGTGTTGCTTGTCAAGTACGCATACAGTAGATTAGAATCAATGTGAGGTGCTGTTGAAATTGTACATAATAATAATAATAAGTTGTCAATGTTCTATGGGTAGAATATAGAACAGCAGGTGACGTGTAGCTTGGGTGAGACATATAATATGGTTTGATGGAGTATGACAAACTTGGAGTTGTATACACGGAAGTGAGATAAACATGTAAAGCGAAGTAACAGGAGTATGTGGGTAGACTTTATAGACGGAGGTGATTTAAAAATGTAAAGCCAAGGAACGGGTGTAATGTGGGTAGAGTATGTACTATGGGGTGTATGTATAAGTTTGCGGGAGAGAGTGTTCAAGGCAAACATGAGGAGAAAAGAAGATATCATATATTCTAATGTGAATGAAGTAAAATGAAGCAGTATATTTTACTTCTATATGTATATATATATATATAAACTCAGTCTTTAAAGCAAAGTAAGAAGTAAATATCCCCCTTCTCTCCACCCCTCTCTCCCTATTTCTCCCTCTTCTCGCTATATCTCTTTTAATACGTCTCTCTCTCTCTCTCTCTCTCTCCCTCTCTCTCTCTCTATATTCCCCCTCACTCGTGTATACATGTATTTTTGATTATCTAGATTTTTCTACAAGTTAATGGCATAGAAAACGTACTGTATGTATGTCGATTTGTTTTCTACATACAGAAACCAATAAAATAAATGTATAAACACTGGTGATATACATGTATCTCAGGGGTGGTGGAGCATCTTTAAAGAGAGAGGGGGCGGGGCGGGGTGCACCAACAAAAAGGGCACTTTGATGAAAACCCATAAGGTGTGTATACACAAAGCAGGATTTTTTTTTGGAGACATTGAAACTCAAACATGCCAGTTATTACGTTATCAAGAATCATCCTTGGTATTTTGGCAAGAGTTAAAGTATGGATGCCATGCATTACCACAAAATGCCATCCAAAGTTTAAAAACAAAATCTGATAGTCATAGTCATAGCCCTTTAATAATTTGAAGCGCACATGTTGAAGTAGAGGAACTGCAAGATCATTGTATAAACAGCGTTCGGTCAATAGTTCGATTTGCGAACTTTGTATGTACAGTGTACGTTGTGTTGGGACTTTGGACCTATAGAGCGTCTCCAAACCCGAGTCACATCAACAAAGCCGACACCAGACCGATTACAAACCAAACAAAAGATAACATAACGCCGGATGGACAAGGATCGCTCGGTGTGGACTCTGAGTTGAGTTCGTTTGGCGATTTGTCTGGGGCATCGTAATAAGCTCGGTCATTTTGGCTTACTCACGCTCATGAAGCGGATTCATCTTCACTCTGGTTCTACAAACTCCAGGGCCTGGAACCATTCGCAATCATGTCGCTGATACAGAATGCCATCTTGGTGGCCGTTACAGCATGCCTTGTTGCCTTCCTGCCAGGGTATTTCCAGAAGGTACCACCCATAGTCATCCATGGAGAGGTTGCCAAGGGGTTTGAACCCGTTCTCGCGAAGTTCAGGTATGAATTAAACATCTGTAAACTTAGTGATCTTAATCTGGAGGTGTGGTATATGACTAAGGCATTGATTGGGCAGTATTACTGTATTTAAGGATTTAAATCACTAATTGAAATGGGCATCGCTACTGAAATGCGCGAATGCGATGTTCACTGTACTAGTTCTTAATTTGTTTTGTACAGCACTTACCCATATGGTTTACATATATGGGGAAGGAGGAGGTACACGATTTCATAACTCTTTTAGCATTCATTTCCATGGCATGGTTTAGCGGGATGTTCCTACTTCTGATATAGGGGCCGGCCTAGCTGTGAAGTATAAAACATCATAATAACCACGAGTCAAAATATTGCTCGTTCGCTTTGCTGCTAGCTCATAGTGTAGAGTTGATATTCATCCAAGAGAGATTCAACCCCGCATGGAGAAGGCTGAACTTACTAGAGGGGGGTTAATGATCGATTGCTAGAGTGTACATATGCATGCAAGGGAGAGAGAGAGAGAAAGAGAAAGAGAAGGGAGAGAGAGAAAGAGAGAGAGAGAGGGGGAGGGAGGATGTTGGATGGGCGTGTAATCCCACAAGGTTAGTGAACATGGACCTAAACATTTGAATTCGTTATTTTACTAAATTACGTATATACTACCTGCAGAAACTTAGCAAACACAAGAAAAACCTAATCAGCTAACTAATCAATCAAACCACACACAGGAAAGATATTAGTTGATCTCACATCTGAGTCATTCCCTTTTCTTTCTCTTTTGGTCGAAAGAGAGAATTTTGAAAATGGTGCAGACTCCCGATACGGAGGATCAGCATTGGCCGTGTATCATAAAGGCAAGAAGATCATAGACATCTGGGGAGGATTTGCCGATGTAGAGAGCAACATAGAATGGCGTCAAGACACAACGACGGTTGTTTTCTCTGCGACTAAAGGTGAGATCCCGGTAGTGTCACTTCGGTGAAAACCCACGAGAGCGAAAGCCCACTATAATAGACCAATCGGTCCCGTGGGCCTTTTAGTACCCTTTTCGGATGGCTCACTAGAACCGACGGTCGTCAGGGCCGACAGTCTACAAAACCAACAACTGTCGGTCGCATGAGCGTTAAAGTCACATTTCAGGGGGCTCACCACACAAACGGCCCCGAGACCGACAGCTCACAACGGCGACAATTTCCATCTGTCGTATCAATTTCTTTGTCTTGTTGGTCTGATAGCTTGTCGGTCTAGTGGGATGTTGGTCTCGTGGGTTGTCGATCAAGTAAACGCCTTTTTTTCAAAGCCGGTCTCATCCCTAAGCTGTCGGTCTACTGGATGACCTTATCACTTTATTATTGACTCTGTTTATGCATATTAGAAATGTAGCGTAAACCTTGGGGTGTTTCACAAAGACTAAGATCAACTTAAAGTTAGACTTAACTAAGGCAGGCTGCTCAAGCCACTGTTTTCTTTTATCATTAACTGGCATTGGTCTCCCAAAGGACTTACACATCATCATGGTCACAAATCTACAGAATTAACATTTTTGGATTATTCATTATTGAAGGATAATAAAATATCTAACAATCATATTGGTGAGAGCAAACAGTGGCATGAACGGCCTGCCATAGATAAGTCCAACTTAAAGTCAATCTTAGTTTTGGTGAAACAACCCCAGGTCATTTTCGGGGAATGTTCGTGGCTGAAATGTTTTTGGATTTGGGATACGTGTACGTCTTTTTAAAGGGGAAAACAATTCACGAAAAGGGGGTCACATTTTTGCAACTTTCGCAAACAGGAGAGAGCGTATGCACTTGCTTTCCTAAAGTGTGGTACGTTTGTGAATGTGTCTCGATAATCCCATATAGGGCGATGTCTAGAGCTCTCTTTTACTTGTTTTTACGGAAAAATAGGGTCAGGTTTTGTGGAGAATGTTCTAGAAGTACGCATAATAGGGGGTGATTTTAGACTCCGCTATTTATTATGATGCAATATCACCGAGATTGAGATCCTTCTGTGGTATATTTGAACTTTGTTCGGATGGCACTTGTTGTGTCAACAGATCGACATTGACAAAACTTTTGCTCCGATTCTGAAACACAAAATCCTGGATTTACCTCTGCTATAATGATAATTATGAACCTGTAGGTCAGTCAGGAACCCCATGACTTGTACAAGCCGATCGCCTGTCTTATTATCAAGATATTTATGGTAGGAAATCGAAATTAAATTTTGCGTTTTCCTAACGGTTTTCATAACACTACAGTCTATCGGGGAAAATGAGTATATGGTAAAACTTGAGATTTGACATTGTTAAGCGATGCCTTTAAAGATAAAAGTTATATATCAATAATGGTGGTGATAACACATTGAGAAGCAATAGGCTATTTTCGTAATGTAACCAAATGCTATGCAAACGTCTTTGTGAAGTGCATAATACGATTGATTTCATTCCCTTGTTAAAGATAATTGCACCTCAATAGGCAGAATGCTTTTGCATAATTATACAAGTGTGTTATATTTGTTGGTATAGGACAAACAATATGGCTTATCCCACCTAGCAGTTTGCATTCTGACTATTGAATACAATTATTCTTAACAGGTGAATGAAATAATTTAAATTGAGGCAATTCCCAAAGGCGTATGTATTAAATTGGGTTACCTTACAAAAATTGCCTTATTAGGAATGGCTTATTATACAGCACTCAGGTATAAGAGATTGCTAAAAATGGGCAAAGATTGCCCCTGTATATTCAATTCAATGGAATTTGTCATTATTTTGATACATCGATTAGTTCATGATATCTAACTTCACAATAAAAGGACACTTTGTAGATTTGTTCGCTGAACTGATGATTGGACGTCATACAAATACTCGCATAACCCAATAAAGAATTACTTTCATGTGTGGAAATCACTCCTAAAATACGTGTGGGGGCGCATATTTGAACTCTGTGGGGCTTTTTTCTGACAAGAAAGGGTCATCGGGTTTTAGAATGATTTTTTTCCTCCAAAACTAGATTGGCAGAACAAAAGAGAAAATAGTTGGGTACATATTTTGTTAGGCTATGGTGCCCCCTTTCCAAAGTCGTGAAAGGGTCTTCCTCCTTGTCCCCGGGATTTCAGCTCGTGCTAGCTCTTAACAAGAAAACATTATAAAATAATTCTATCATTCCTACACACAGGTATAGCATCAATCTGCATCGCCATGTTGGTGGACAGGGGTCTCTTGGACTATGATAAACCAGTATCTCTATACTGGCCAGAGTTTGCACAGAAGGGCAAGGGCAAAGTGACCGTCAGACAACTCATGGAACATATGGTCAGTTCAGAATTATTATTATTTTTATTATTGTTATTTTGAAACACGTTTTAAAAATTTAAATGAGTTAGATCTTAGTAGGGTTTGTTAGAGTCCTGTTCTCTATTCAAAACAAAACAAAACGTAACACAAATTAATTTTCTTGTTAAAATGGACGTGATTATCAAATAATGTTGTTTAAACAGAGATTAATGTTGTGTAAGAGATTGTTTAAACAAAGTTGTAATTTTTGAATGGCTCAGCCGAACATACACTACGTGCATGTTTTGTCATATTAACATGACTTATTCACATAACTGCGACTTAATCAATATTTTCCTATTGTCATTACCGTTTACTAGGTTAATGATATATGTTTATTTTGCAAATGAGTATTTTTTTAAAAACTGTTTTGTATAAACGTTATAAACGATGTAAATATGTTCATGTTTATTCAGGGCCCCATGGAAGACCACTACTTGTTGGTGGATGGGCTACCCTGTCAAAAGATTAGAAATAAATAAATAAAATAAATGTGATTGATAAGAGCAAGTCGTTAGTGTTCATCTAAACGCATAAATTGGACCATTTTAAAGGTACGTATTACAAAGTTTTGGTATAGGGTCATGAGTTTGGTTCAAATTAACATATTGGAAGCATATGCGTTCCTACAATATACATTGATCGTTGTCGAGGTTGAAATCGAGTCTAAAGTTATGAAATTATAAATAATAAACTCTTTATGTTGTATAGCTCCCTCTCAAGGTCAAGATATTAATTTAGCTATGAAACGATGTTTCTTGACTGAAATCGACCGATTAGCTATTCTCGTTTGGAAATTATATATCTCAACTACATATTCTGAGATTTTCATGGTCGTAGCTACGATTGTACGGCCATAGGCGCTATTTGAAATTTATCAAAATTTACCGGGAGCACCGGTAAATTTTTATATTCAATTTTTCTCGAAAACAGAAGTGTTTTAGGGGCTAATTTTTTTAGTGCTTATAATACATCCACAGGGGCATCCAAATATATCAAAATTGTAAAGATTCACTATCCACCCAATTTTCAAAATTTCCCAAAACTTTGTATTACCTTTAAACAAAACTTTTCGAAGACTGTGGCCGAAATCTTTGTAACATTGACTGACCTTGATAGGCCGGCCTGACCCTCATGGCTCCACCGGGGATGACCATCGACACCCTGCAGGATGTAGCACGAGGGGGAGAACTGATGGCAGCAGCTGAGCCTCAGTGGGAAATAGACGGGAAGAAACATGGTTACCACGCCCTAACTTTCGGCCCGCTCACCAACGAGCTCCTGCGTCGAGTCGACCCGCAACACCGCACCATGGGGCAATTCTTTGCAGAAGAGATCGCAGAACCTTTTGGTAAATAAACTAATATATGTAACCAATGCCAATTGGCACAGTCCATTGTGTGACACACGTGCCAATCGCCTCAAAATATAGACACTACTGACTTGTACAATATAGTCACACAAAAGCTTTGCAAAATTACCAGTATCAATCTTGATTTAATAGCTTCATGGCAACTTTCTCATACTCTCGAATAATCTTTAAGCCATTTGTATGAAAATACTATATTTGAGAGACCGGTACTCAACTGGAAAAAGAAGAAGAAGAAGATGATGACCCCCTGTGAAAAAAAATGTAGCGCAGAGCGGTCATTTTTAGTTGCTTGACACATAACGAGATGAAGGAAGGTATACTGTCTATGCGGAATCGTATTAAACGTAATAATCGTATTTGATCAGGTTTTGCTAATCATGATCTTAATCATGTTTGTTGTGCTATCATTTTATATGATCAGAATCGGTCTTACCTAATTTTAATGAGTGAGTATTCAGTCTATCACTGCCCTCATAAAACACTGACAATTTCACTCAGTCTGATTTGAAATGAACTATATATAAATACATGATGATGATGATTTTGGACTTGTTACTAATCAACATTATCATTATTATCGTCGTCACCATCGTCGTCATCATCATCATCATCATCACGACGATCATCATTTTCATCATCATCATCATCGTCGTCATCATCACCATCACCACCACTATGTTCATAATCACCATCATCACCACCACCATCATCATCATCACCACCACCACCCTCACCACCAACACCATCACCATCATCACCACCACCACCACCTTCATCATCATCACCACCACCACCACCATTATCATCACCACCATAACCATAACCACCACCACCATCATCATCACCACCACCATCATCATCACCATCATCACCACCACCACCATCATCATCACCACCACCACCACCTTCATCATCATCACCACCACCACCACCATTATCATCACCACCATAACCATAACCACCACCACCATCATCATCACCACCACCATCATCATCACCATCATTCACCACCACCACCATCATCATTATCATCACCATCATCCTCCTCCTCCTCCTCCTCCTCCTCAAATATGACGCGGCAAAACCGCGGCGTTTTTTGACATGATGACGTAGTACGTAAAGTGTAATGCGCTTCACATTGCCCATCTCATCACACTGAGCTGAAATACGCGTAGGACCTTAGTTCCGCGCAGTTGTCATTCATTTACACATACATAAACCGCTGCGGTTTACCGCGTCATTTCTGAACAAGCCTCACAGCGTGTCCACACACAATTTTTGTTATCCTGAAACTCTATAACGAAACGTCGTATAAAGAATCATCGTATACATTCCAGGGTGTCCACACAAAAGAAACGTCGTTTAAAGAATCATCGTATAAATTCCAGGGCGTCCACACACACAAGAAAGTAATCCTGAAACTCTACAGCGAAACGCCGTATAGGTGCGCAGTTTGCTAATTAATGCGGTCATGAAACGGAAGCGGAAATGGGACGTCAGGTCTCCTTTCGCGCGCGGTCACGTTAAGCCCCGCCCAGTTATACCATTCTAGTTGACCAGTTATACTAGTTACATACACACACAACACATTCCGTGATTCTTTATCGAGTTTTAGTTCAAAACGATGCCCAGACCCGCGTTTCGTTATACGACGTTTCGTAAATACGACGTATCGTTAGTAAGCGTCCACACACACACACACACAGTTTTATCGTATAACTATCCCGAAACGGTATAACTCTACCGTTTCGGGATAGTTATACGATGAATTTGTTGTGTGTGGACACATGGTCAGTTGTGTTGTGTTTGTCTGACAGGAGTGGACTTCCACATTGGACTGCCATTTGATCAGAATTATCGAGTAGCTAGATTGATTGAAGGAAAGATTGGTCGGCTGTGGGGACTCGACGATCCTCTCATTCGCCAGATGACATTACATTTCCTAACGACTCCATATTTCAAAAACATCCAAGAAAACCAAGGGGCAATCATGAACACAGTAAGTAGTTTGTCAATTCATACAGTTGCTCTAGGCCTATAGCTAATGGTAATCAGTCCCCGTCTTTTTTTGAAGGGGGGGATTTAGGGGCGGTCTGGGACTAACATTCGGTTGGGGAACTTTTGTGATACAAGAACAATCAACATAGTTATAATTTTGTTTATACTGGCCCTCAGACCACAAATCAACCAGCCCTCAAGCGACAATATTGAGCGCCCGAGGGGAAAAACTCATAAAACTCATCATGAAGTGTCAGCACTTGTGGGCATACGTAAATAAAATATCCTTTTCATTATTACTGCATCAAAATCAAGCTTGATATACTTTTCCTTTCATTTTGAATGTACTGTTATTGAATATGTTAGAGTTTTCATATAATTATAGGACTATGTAAGAAAAGAAAATGTATACATGCATGTATCATGATAGTGTACTGCATGAACAATGTTGCCTATACAGTAGGAACAAAAATCGTACGTCTTTTGATGAAAATAGTGAGAATGTGGTCTATTGCCCTATAGATTTCGTATATGATTATCTGTTGGAGTAAAAACACTAATTAAATAAAAAAAGATTTCATTTTTAGTGCTCACTACCGCCCCCGCCCCGCCCCCACCCCCTCCCCCGGTTGAGCGAAAACAACGGTCTGCACGATTTTCCCTGTTGAGCGAAAATAACGGTCTGCGCGATTTTCACATTTCCAGCCCCCCCCCCCTTCCCCCCCCCCCCCCCCCATTGGAAAATCCAAGATTCGCCACTGATTGAAGTCACTACCTTATGACCATTTCCTCTCATCTGAACAATGTTACCAAGTCCCTTTAATTTCATTATTATTGTTTTCATCGTTATTATTATTATCAGTATCATCAGTACATGTACCTCTTTCTTTTGGCTAGCTGATGGCCCTAAACAGTCCCTATCTTCGGGCTGTCGAAGTGCCCTCTGTCAATGGAATTGGGACAGCCAGAGCCATCGCAAAGGTAGGATTCACTTTTTACTTCATGAAGCTAATATTTATAATAATAATAATAACCTTGTAAGTTACACAGGGAAGCCTCATTAGCTTCAATGCTGATCTTCCTGAGGGCCCTGCAATTATTATTACCCCAAGCGATTGCAAGGTACCCATTTCCACCTGCATGGAGAGTGTCCAATGTGGATTACTGTCTTGCCAAAGGACGTTAGTGCCGGGCTGAGATTTGAACCCTCACACCTTGGATTGAGAGTCAAGTAAATGAACCACTTTACCACGACACCTCCACATCATGAGTGTGCTCAGCTAATATGTCAAAAGCCCAAATGGTGCCATGCCCATGATGCTACCCCACTGGTAAATGAACTACATTAGCCCATTACTGAGAGAATTCAACACCGTATACTTGTCAGCCACAAACTCATTGCATTTTGGAAAAAAATGTACTTCACTCGACTTCTTTAATAGATGAAGAAAAAGATCGTTAGATATACGTCTACAAATCTGAATTCGTCCTTGACTAAGGGACAGTACCTTGTATCCTCTGGAAAAATATAAGTTTAAATATAAATGCAACTATCATTGTATATTATGCTTCATCTTCTTCGTCGTCTTCTTCTTCTTCTTCTTCTTCTTCATCATCTTCTTCTTCTTCTTCTTCTTATAATATCATTGTTATTCATTAATTCATTAATTGATTAATTAAGTAATCAAATAGTATTTATACGTAGGGTAAAAAAACCAAGTGAGTTTTATTAATATTACTCTTCCTACTGGCCCCACACTTATTATTATTCCTGATTCAATATTGTTGTTATTATGATGTTTTTCTTATTCTTTTAATTATTCTGATCGATATTTCAACATCATTACTATCAATATCATCATTACCTTCCTTTTTTCCCATCATTAATATAGTATTGATATTATTGCGAAAAAATATCCAAAGAATAGTAGTGCAGGGCAAATTCATTGAATTTCCGTTATAACTACTACAATGAGCGTTATGATTCATCATGTCAATTGTTACTGTCATTATCTTTTTAATCATTGTCACATCATTATCCTGGTGGTTATGATTACAATCTTCATATTATTATCATTGTGGCGATTAACATCATTTGGTCGGCACCCAACTTCGAATGAGGACCTCGCTGCTCGTTGTTAATGCGTTAAGATTGCTTACGGTGTAAGACTTTAAGTAAAATTGAGGTTTCGAAATGAAAAAAAGCGTCGGTAAGGTCTTTACCAAAAAGACTACCTCACAGAGATAAAGTTTATGGACTCCTGTAAACCTGGCTTCTGATTCTATTCTTAGGTTTACGGAATTTTAGCGGCCGGTGGCGTCGATCCAGAAACTAAACTGAAGTTGCTATCGAAGGAAAGGATTAATGCATTTATGAACGCCAGCACTGTAACACAGGATGAAGTGCTAGGATTTGACTTATCACATACTTTAGGGATGGTCACAACGAAGTATGTCATGGTGAGTACTAATGATGATAGTAAAATTAAAGACAGCATTGATTATTTTGTAGTGCGCCATCGATCTAGCAGTTGCATTTTACAGTCGTTTTAAGACAAAAGTTCGGAAGTACAATCATACTCATAGTTTAAGTTTCCCCTAAAAGGTGTTGCTCTTGTAATGCCCTCATCTTTTGATCATTCCAACTGAGTACACCCTTTTTAATGTAGAGCACAAAGATCACAAAGACTTACGAAAGATCAACTTATACTGGCCTTGTCCATCACCTTCTGAAATGTGTGAACACCCCCCCCCCTCCCCCGAGTTGATGCAGAATGTTTCTTTCATGATGTAATGGCATGTCGAATAATCAATTGATCTCTTAATATCCCTCATTTCTGCTCTCTTCAGAACGGTTCGGTTATGGGATTCGGTCATGAGGGTGCAGGCGGTCAGAAAGCATGGGCAGATCCGAAGAATAAGATCGGTTTTTCGTTCGTCAGCAACGCCCTTTCACCTTACACGCATAACGGAGATCACAGGAGTCAAGAATTGACCGAAAATCTGTACGAATGCTTAAGGAAAAAGTAGTAGATGTGGACATCTTCTTTGTAATGCCCTTGTTGAACCTTGTTCAGATATGCAGCGGTAAACCGCGGCGTGTTTTTAAATGATGACGTCACGTATAAAACGTTTCACATTTCTGTATCTCATGAAACAGACGTCAGTGAATGCACAAAGGACCCTTTTTTGCCTGATTATCATTCATTTATATATGCATAAAAACCCAGAGGTGGTATTTGTTAGCCACGGTAAACCGCGTCATATCTGAACTGTAGTTTTATAAAGTAGTTTAACCGGAGTTTAGAATATAGCTGCGAACATGATACCTGCAAAGTGACCGTTTTATATCGCTATTCAAATCTAATTCAATCTATTTCCAATCCAATAGATCTGGTATAGTGTCTTTCCTAGTAGTTGCAGATCTAAAGCGCTGAATAATTTGCTCCAAACACTATTGTTACGTTACTTAAAGTTAAAACTTTGCTTGTGATATTGACTTTTCTGCTTCGCTACCCCTGCCCCAACCCCCTCTCTCCCTCCCCTCTCTCTCTATCTTTTTTTTCCTCCCTCTATGTTTCTCTCTCTGTCTCTCTCTGTCTCTCTCTGTCTCTCTCTGTCTTCCTACCACTTTCTCTCTCTCCTCACTCTCTCTTTCTGTCTCTCCATGTCTCTTTTTCTTTCTCCCTACCCCTGTCTCTCTATCTTTTTGTTTCTTCATGTCTCTCTATCTTTCTCTTCGTCTCCCTACCCCTATCTCTATCTCTTTCTCCATCCCAAGTCTTTTTTTTCTTCTTTTCCTCCCCTACATCACCTCTCTTTCTTCTACATTCCTTTTTTTCTAATATAGTCTTAGCTTTGTCTTGTCTTCATACGCCCTTTTCTCCACTCCCCCCCCCCCCAAACCGAGTGGAGATTGGCGTCGTTCCGTAGGTTTCTCCATATATAGTTACTCGCATGATGTAAAGACAATTACTTGAAATTATTAATTTAAAAGTGCTTTTTAATTATGCAATTAGTATACAAATATTTTATTCAATTGTTCTTTGTATAATTTAGTTTCTTTACCAACAAATCAAGCTGATGTATAATTATAATGTGCAAACAAATAAAAACAAAGGAAATAAAGTAAAGTAAATAGTTCCAGAAAAAAATGGTCGACCTTTTTTTCCTTCTAGTTGATACACCGTGAAATATTCATTATCATGAAACCATTAGGAAAATAATGTATAATACATTTCAGTAGAGTTTGATTGATATATATCTAGACCTGACAGACTTCCAAACCAACACCGGAAAGACTAGGCCTAATCAAATGCAAACTTAATGAAATATTTGGAGAGCATCAAAGGGATTGGCTATATTTGTCTCAGATTCTAAACAAAATCCTGGATTTAGCTCACGCTGTAATCTCAATTATACACATTTAGGTCAGTCAGAAATCCCATAACGTTTAAAAGCCGACCGCCCGTCTCATTATCAAAATATTTATGATTGGAATTCGAAACTTCAAAAACCGTTTTTCCAACGGTTTTTATTACACTACAGTCTATAGGGGGAAATTATTATTGTATTATTATTTATTACACCATATCACAGACGCTGATAACACGTTGGGCCATGCATCTCAGATTTGGCATTGAAACATCACATCCTTATTAATTGAAAATAGCAATATTAACTTGAAATTTGGTGTTGTTAAAATTGTCGGACATTGTTTGATGACTTTGAAAGGTCCACGGATTTTCATTACATTTACATTATACCAATATGACGAAAGAGATGAACAACATTCTTAGGTTCTACACAAAATGAATTAACTTGTAAAGGAAAAGTTGCGGAATGATTTAAAAGTATTCTTTTCACATTCCTTTCCCTTCTTCTTTTTCATTTCTCTCGTTGAATATATGATAAGGGAGGGGGCTCGTGCCCGTTAGGCTACGCCACTAATATTCGGTGTCTAAGTTAAATTTTATTGAAGTAAAACTTGGAACAGCAGAGAGATGCAGCAGACGATTGGCGAAAACAGCACAATGGCGTCACCCCCTCCTGTGGTCGTTGGTTCAGTTGTCATTCCGTCTATAGCACAATAAAGAATAGAATAAACAAAATGAAATTAAAAATTGTTGCGAGTTTTAAAAAAAATGGATAAATAGACAGGTGACGAAGCAGGGAATTAAGCAAGGAGTAAAAAGAGACCCCCTCTCCTCAAAAAAATAAAATCATGAAAGAGATTTATTCTGCGTTCTGATATGAATAATGGATTATTGTGAACAGAAATGTAAATCACATAAAGGATCCTACCTATAATTATGAGCCCTATAAGCTCTTTAAATATTATTATTACTATCATTATAGTATCCGACATTCTCGGACACGGGGGTGTAATTGCTTTCAATTTATTATTCTGCTCCTTGTGGAAATGTTAGACTAAAAATGATAATAATTGAAAGTGCAGTGTATATTACTGACGAAGCCATATTCCACTAAGCAATTTTTTTTCTCCTTCTATACCTTCAGATAGGATAGAGGGTACATATATCAATATCTCTGCATTTTAGAAATACTTGAAATTGCGTATTGGTGTCAACTAAACCTGTAGGGAATGAGTCGTCATAAACTTCGTAGAGAGATATAGTCCCACTGACTGTACCCGTAACCATCAACATGGGTACTCCTGTCACACTCATAGATGCAGGGATGAATCTTTAACAAAGAATGAGTTAACACATGTGAGAAACATTTTTTATAAGTTTAATTTATTTTAAGAAGGTATAAGATCCGAAAAGAAGATATTACACAATGATCACTTTCGCAATTACTTTGACAATTAATCTTATTTTTCAATGGCTTTGTACGTCGTGCGAACGTAACATAAATATACCATACTCAAATGTCCCCTGAATACTTTTTTGACGTGGTTGAGATCGTGTTATATAATCGTATACAAAAGAATTATGGACAACATATCAAACCAAAAGCCAAACAAACCAGAACTAAATTATTTCGATGTAATGTAATTTCATTCTTAAAGGAAGTAGGCTTATCATTCAAATCGAGACTTCAATCAATCTGGGCAAAAACCTGTGCTTTCCAAAGATGCACAAATTATCGCTAAAATAATTTAGAATTCTTGAGTAATTTACCGACAATGTGGGTTTCCTATATATTAGGGATATAGGCCTAATACAAGTCACTAAAAACAAATTCACGTGAGTGTCAAAATCGTGACCTTACTTTAGATCTTCGGGATCAAGGTCACCCAGGTTACGATTGTCCAGAAGATTCTGGAACGTATCATTACGACCGCCAGCACGGTACACGCTTTCGAACGTCGGTACGACCTCGCCAGATTCGAGAGAGTAGATGAGGATGACCGCTGTACGATCAACACCGACGAAAATGATGCGACGTTCATCGAGTTCGCCGATCTCCACCGATTCACACTCGGGACCCTATACATGTGTGAGTGGGATAAGGGTGTAAATTACGATGGGGAAGACACAATTGCAAAGACTTTCGAGAAATAAAATCTATGGTAATGACAATGACCTTATTGATCCCCTTTTAAAATCACTTTACATTACAGTGACGTATTACCTAATCCAAACATGATTTCTTTAGGATATCCAATAGAGAACTGAAATTGCCCCCGAGATAATTTTTCGAATGTAACTGGGATCGTGTTGAATCAATAATATCATTTTATCAAAGGGGCAAATCGGTTGCTTATTCACCATCAGTCTAGAATTCCAAAACGCCGCATGGTTGACGACCCAGAAAGAAATTATAATCTATACAACCCGATTGCAGAGACGTATGGCAAACCTATGATAATTACATTAACTGTATGAGTCATCTATTGAATCGTATGAACATTAAAATGATGTATTAAGTGATACGAACATGACGTCTGTTAGCAAATTAATGGGATATTGAATTGCCCTCAAGTTGCTTTTAGAACAAGATCATGAAGCCTTTCTGTAATCAACCCATACATACAGTTTGTATAGCCTGCCATCACTTTCTGAAATGTGCACACATATATGTGATGTTCTACGTTTAATCTGAACATAATCAAAAGTCTTCACGGTTGTTTTACTGGGTAAATTTGAGTAAGACAGTAATAATCATATACCTGGTTATCGGAGCGTTTGTCAAAGAAATCGTCTGGTTTGTCGACTTCGGCATCGTCTGGCTTGGTGTCGCTGTTGAACACGTCAGGATAAAACTTGGCAATCATCTTCTCCACCTCGTCGCCACTGTCATAGACGAGTGTGATGTCGGAGGCCTTGAAGATGGAAAACCCTCGAGCACCGAAGAAATAAAGCTTCTCGAGTTTTCCCGTGGCATCCAAACCGTCGACTTTGCTGAACATAAGACGTCCTGTTTTGTACAATAGATAGATGAATGGTTTTAGCATTATTGTTCCAGTTACTGGTTGGGGGGGGGGGGGGGGGGAATGGTGATCTCAAGGTATACCCCTCCCCAACCAAAACAAATCTGCAATATCTTAGGTACAATGCAATATTTAAGGCAACCTCTGTCGGAAGATACTCATGTCCGAACGGAACGTTGAATTAATATTTCTGGATGGGGGACCGTGTTTCTCAGACACCTTAGATTACAGCACAATGTCATTATTAAGTCTTTTTGGAGCCAGAAACGGCATCATCTTGGTGTTAAATTATTCGAGTTCATCATTGGCATACCATGAGTTCCCCATCGCTTTGGAGGAGGTGGTGGTGTTCGTGGGGGGGGGGGGGGGGGGGGGGGGTCGTCGATCTTTCTTGGACATCGAAATGCGAATTTACAAGGCCATTGATGAGAAGGTGGTGCAGAAATAGTACAGGTGTCTTTATCCCCTTCCGATCCCCTTCCCTCTCCTTTTTGTCTTGCTTTATTTTTGTTTGACTTCTCTAATTTCTTCCATCATTCCATGGGGGAGGGGGGGGGGCCTGGCCCTTCCATGCCTCCTGAAGCGACACCACTTTTAGCTCAAATTGAATTTCCTTGCAGAATATATCAACTCACCAAGAATATCATTGTCACTCACGTTCGCTATCAGCTCAGTGTTAAATGCAGAGGAAAAATCTCCTGCAAGTCCAAAAGATATTTAGAGAAAAGGTTGAGTTCTTGGAAAGGTCGGATATAATTTGAGAGCGTTCACATTTTTAAAAATGCTATCGTCAAAAAATAGCAAAGATATTTTCCGCAAACAGAGTGACTCTTAAATTGCCCTCATATTTGAAATATGACAAGAAAAATGTTGAGTGTTTTGGACTAAACTTCCATGTCACATGTTTGTGTAGTCCCATAAATTCACATTTCCTGGATTGAATTTGAATTCCAACAATGCTGATTCAACTTCTTGTCCGATGTTGATGGTTGCAAAACTTTAGTATACACCAATTTTTTATAATATATAGGCACCCTTTTTTCCAAGACTTCTAAAAAGGATCAAGCTTGGTAAATAACTGATACTTGTTATAATATTATCTTAACTATTCTGGAGAAAGTTTAATATTATATTCAGGATCTTTCCTCATTTTAGCATTAAACAATAGTAAACAAAATGAGAAAAAGAAACGTAAAGGAAAAAAGTAATGAATTATTTCACAATAATGCATGAAATCAAACATTAATGAAGGATTATTTTGATGTCATCAGAAAGATATCAAACTTCCTACCACTGGTTTACACATTATTTGTGTATGTAAGCTTTAAACATTTGAATATAAAGCATTGTTCTTGTCATTTAAAAATCTTGAAACAGGCAAACCCCTAATTTTCGGTTTAACTTAAAAAAATTTGGATTGGACTTATTATTATCATTATCATTATTATCATTATCATTATCATTATCATTTGGCTAGAAATTAGAGATTAATTCACCCGTAGTAAAATCGTTTCCTCTTTGGGCTTCACCCCACTCTTCCTCGCCGAGTTCATAATCAAGACTCCCGCCCTCATTGGTTGTGATTATATAACCGACTCCATCCACTTCAAAATACTTGATGCCGTCGGGCTGATAGAAACTGAAGATGTTGCTTCGTCGGAAAACTATTCCTGAAAACAATTTCAAGGAAAAATGTGGTGTATTTATCTCGGAGAGAGGGCAGGATTTTACGGGATTTTAAATGAATACATTTGTATTAGTATGAATTACCCATGTATGAATAGGCTCCTGATATGCCTGAGCGCTAGTTACTTTGACAGCTCGGCTACAGACAGGGTAATATGTGTATAGCGCCACGAGCGTCTGAGATTCTGGCGAATACCGGCGCTTTATCAATATCCATATTATTATTATCATTATTATATATGTTGCCATTATACTGAAATATTGCCTATTGCCTACTTTAGTTTAAAAGCTGGTTCACAAGCAAATCTAAATACAACCTCCTTTTTTTGTATTGAATAAATGTTCGATTCTCCGAAAGCCATGAAAATATTTTTTAGGGAGCATCCCTTTGGCTGGGAAGCACTCAATAAATTGTTGTATGTGCACGAGCGAGAAATATCATTAACTTTCTTTGCACGGTATATACAAGAAGTCTGAAATAATTAGGTAAAAAATTTTGCCTTCTGTAAAGAAGCAATGATCTTACCGTCATCTTTGTCGCTAGCATCAAGGTCGAGGTTATTCCAGCTTTTTTCACCGAGCGGATAGATATCTTCTACTTCATCAGTAGTCAAATCTATAACAGTGATTGCATTGTTTTTCTGTAAAGGTAATCATTGATATTGGACTTGTGAGAAACAATACGCCCATTTGACATACGAAGAGGGGCAGCCGCTAGAGCCGGTCAGGATCCGTACCTTTACAATTTCGCAAATATTAATATTTGTAATAACTATTTGACATGTGTCAAACGATTTTGGTAGAAAAGGTATAGAGGCTGAGTAATGAGCGTAGAAATATAATGAAATCAAGGTAAGTAGGCCCGACACAATGTGCTTAACACAGGTTATTGAAGATGATTTCCAGCAAGTTTTTTGTTTGTTTTACTGGTTCAAACAATCAATCTACAGCAGGATAAACAATCCAGAATGAATTATAGCCATGTTCTCTCGACATACGATTCCCATAGCATAGCTCAAGATTAGCTTTACGAGACTCACCAGCAAGGCAACGAAGGCTTTGGTATCATCATAGTTATAGGTGATGTATTCAGGCTCTAGATTTTGTGAGAATGTATGATTAACACCGTCCAGCTGCCCGCGGTAAGAATAACGAACTCCTCTCGCCACATAGTCATCGGCTCTGCAACGGGGAAAATACGGGTAATTGGAGGGGTAAGGGCATGTAAATGATGGTAGGTCAAATGCTTCTTTTCATATTACATTTTTGTGTACAACTAATCCAAAACGATTGTGATTCAAATGAATAGACTATACATGTACATTTTTAAACAATGTAATAGTGCTCGGGTGACGACATTATGGGAGCTATACTACTTTCGGCTCAAGCACACTACCATGACTAACCTCGATATCACCTCAGTTAGTTTTTCCTGCCACCCTTACAGTCGGCGATTGTTTTTTTTTACTATCGAAAAACGCATCGTTGTTTATAGTGGATATGACAACAACATTACAAATTATAATCAGGGTTTATATGTAAAGCGCTTAATACAACGACCATATCTCTAAGCACTTTACAGTATATCGTCCCGGTCTATCAACGGATTCAGGCTGGCCCGCACCACAATGTATGCACGTTCCCCACTTCCTGGGGAGCATTCCAGCCAGACGCCTTTTTACAGACGCTCACATTACTTAGCAAGCTGCAATGACTTTTACACCATACAGGGTAACGATCTGACACCTGGGTGGAGAGTGGCAAATGTGGATAAATGCCTTGTCAAAGTACGTTGGTGGCGTGCTGGGATTCGAACCCTCAACCTGGTTCGCGGTTCGATTCTCAGCTACGGCACTTACGTCTTTTTGGAGATACAATGTGTATTAATCTACACTCCCACTCACCACCCACGATATAATGGACACCATTGAGGAAAGCCAATGTGACTGCCCTTGCCTTTGCTCTACATGCATGCATAATAATAATGCAAACTGGCCGAAATACTTTCCTGGGGATGTGTAATGGTGAACACCTGGGTGCTGGCTTCAAAACCAGTTACCCAGGTAATAATAATAACAATAATAACATTGTAAAGAGCATCATAGTATTCACACTATGTTAATATAAAAGACTATATTGGGTTACTTGGGTATATCATATTTATCATGGTGTAATATCTATCTAAGCTTTGATCATGATGATATCTATATTTCTATGATATTTACGTATGATGTGTCATGCTTAGTTTTATACAGAATGTAAGCAAACTTCCTTAGGACTATACAAATTAAGTTGAAATTGAATCGAATTGAATATACCTATCATTGAACTCAGTAAAGTTGCGTAAAGTCGAGTTGTAGGAGGAGCCGTCTGAAGATAGTCGAATGATGGAGATCGTTCCTTCCGGATTGATCAATTCTGTCATGTCAGCATTTTCTTTCGCTATTCCCTTATTAGCAACCAAGATGGTGAGACAATCGTGCGAGAAATGTAGCATGTCGGGTTTACTGCCGACTAGATTCAAAATAACATAAGAAAAACATTAAATGTTAGGGAAACTTCAAAACAATATCTGATTTTACAATTTTATGCTATCATCATACTTAATACGCACTGTATTTAATTGTCATGAACACTGCTGCTATGTTTTGTACATACAAACAATTCCTTTTCCCAATAGTTGTTTTTATTGAACACCCCTTCCACAAACAAACACTTACACACATATGTTTAATAGCCTTATCTACCGCACATGTATATTCACTTGTCTTTATACTCCCCCGCCCCACTCTCTCTCTCTCTTTCTCGCTCTCAATCCCCCGACTCTCTCTAATATTAGATACCATAAATCTACAGGTTTAAAAATAAAATAATAATCTCTGGGAATCTGATATTCATGATAATATGAATTATCCTCTTCTCACTCGGTATTTCATGCAGTTTAGACCAGTTCCCAGCAGCTTTATCATAAAGACTGTAAATTTGCAGAGTTCCAGTATCTACTTTCGTAGGGCCTTCCAGGACAAACCCGACAAAGTCCCCGCAGGTCTCGATGTCATTGCATGTAAAGTCGATGGTCATTCGATCGAGAATGGTGGGTATGGTCACATCTGACCAATCAGTGATGTGTATATAATTATTACCTGTAAAAAAAGGGACATGCATTGTGAATGCATTGGGTAACCAATAGGAAGAAGGCGATAGGGTTCTTGTAGCTGTATCATGACAGAAAATATTAATCTACCCTTATAAAAGGACCTATTTACAGTAATCGTCGCTTAATCCCCCAACCAATATCGTAAAGCAGGCTGGGACTATAAGGTCGGCCCATGAATATGACTTCGTTACTTCACGTAGCTCTGTCAATGAGCAAAATGGATAATATTTTTGATAGTGATGGTTATAATATTGGAACCAGTGATTATTAAAGATATGGACCGGTAGTGGTAACATTGCGGTTCAAGGGATTTGGGTGCAAAATATCCGTTCAATATTGTTTAGATATCGCCTTCAGAGGTTTAGATGGCACTACTTCAACCTAAATTCGCAAAAAAGCAGAAGTATATGCCCACATGTTCAACGTTGAAGTGCATTCGCGATATCTATCCAGGCCGGATCGCCATGATAATTTATCAAATATATCAATTAGTAGGCGGTTTCCCGACAAAATTTGTATCATCACGTATTATTCAAAACATATTCTTTCACATGATTGGTAATAAGAGCTTCCATTTCATTTTTTGAAAGGGGGGGGGGGGGCGTTTCCAAAACTATACCTTTAAGGCATATGAAGATGAAATGAAATTAGACTTAAAAGAGTAAACAATTTCAAAATAATTATAGGAAATAGAAAGACAAAATCATTTACCTCCAGAATAGGCAATTTTGTTGGTCGAATCATAGCCAGTCTGTTCTGAGGCGCCTTCATCGATGCCATACAAACCCTCACCTTCATTATAGCTGTATGGTAAGTAGATAGTGGATACTGGACGGAGAGTAACCACTGCAGAAACGACTGGTACCAAGACCAGCAAAGTGGCGAGGAAAGGGACACGCTGCTGCATTGTGGATGGGTTTTGGGGAATAGTTCTATAATGTAGAGGATTAACAAAAGAATAGTGTTACTACTCGTTAACCTTTGATTTGCCATGAGTGTCAATGTGCACGGTCACCCGTTTGCCACACGTAATATGTGGCACAAAACAATGATGCACAAGTTGACAGAAGGGTTGCTTTGTGCAAGACGATGAATTTGAAAAAATGCCCACTACTGGTATTGGTTACCTCATTTAACGTCTGTTCAGATGATTATTCGTGCACTGGAAAAAGTTAAATAATCATGAAACTTTTGGTAAATCTACCCATGATAAATACAATGTGTCACAGGGAGATTAATTGTATGGCTAACAAAGAGTTGATTCAATTTCAACAAATTGTGAACGGGTTTAAAACTTATTGAGCACGATTTCGCCAGGTGGGTGGGTGGGGGGGGGGGGGTGACGTTCCTTGTCAGAATATCAAGTTGTCCATGATTAGATACATATTTTTTATTAATAAGTCAGCACCGGTTCTACGTCACTACGCCATGGCGGCACTATTTACTGTGGTCAATTTTATGGTAACCAAATTCCATCTTTCACCCCTATAACAATTCACCCCATTAAATGACATCATTCAATCTCCTTTGACATCTATTTGCTACTTTTATCGTGTAGTCTAACATTTGTCGCGAAAATATTATTAACATTGCTCACCAAGCCTGTTTACCGAAAAGAATGAATTGCACAGTTTTTGCGTGTGACCTCATTCGTAACATCATGTACCACACACATGTAATACTGTGTAAAAAGAAAATACCTGATCGTTATGAGAAGTGCAAGTCATACCATACAAATTCTAAGTTTCCATAATAACAAAAATGGGCCAGACTCATGGATCCGGTTGCGGATCCAGGGTGGGGGTACTGGGGGTTGGCCCTCACCCCTGGCAAAAAAAGAAGTAAACCACAAATTTACCTTTTCTTTTTTTTTTGCTCAAGATTGGGGGTGGGGGGGGGGGGGGTGGTTGAGAGCAAAAATTGCTCCCCCTATCCCCCCCCCCGCTTATTCGACGGCTAATTCGCCACCAAATATTTTCACACGAATTGGGCCCCCACCCTCGCCGCCGGCTGGATCCGCCCCTATCAGCGATATTTGCATACCTTATATTGACTCTGAATTGGACTTTTATGTTGTGGGTATGAATAGAAATAAAAGGATTTTCATCAAGAATCTGACTGACTCATGCCGTCCTTATTTTGAACTGAGAGACGAACTATGGTTTCTCACGGAATACACACACACACACAAAGAAAAGGATTTCTGCTTGAGCACTCACGCGGATAAAAGCAGTAAAGAAAAGCATTTTATCCAATGTTGATCGTTGGATAATATTGAATATAATTCCACATACTTACCGGGTCAAACGTACCCAGAAGTGGGCAAGGGTTGCCAATATATTGTGTTAATCCTTTACTCGACGAATAATCTTGTTCCCTGCATCACCCAATATTGGGCAAAATTTAGCCCGCTCTTAACGATTGTATAGATCTCTATAGTATACTATCGAAATACCCGTATGTTCAAAGACATTAAAACCCTCTTTGAATACTTATCTGGTCTATACAAGAAAAACACAGACATCGAACAATGTAGGAAACCATACTAACGGCATTGTATGCGGATTGGCTTTATTGACGGTTATTCAAACAAGTTATCATGATAGTAATTAAAAGATCCAGGGTCGAATAAAAAAAATTAAGAAGGAGAAGAGCCACATTTTTTAGAAAGACAAATCTCTGATAGTAAAACTAAAGTAGAAAAAGGAGAAGAAGAAAAAGAAGGAGAAGATGGAGAAGAACAAAGTACTCAAGGAATGCGAGATAGGGCTTAAAGGAGGTACAGCCTGTTTGTGCCCTTTAAATCCGCCAGTGAAAGGTTATATAAATGGATTTTTTTTACTTTAATAAGGAATGTATTAATCAGTCTAAAATAAGTCGCAACGAGATTCATTAATTCCAAAATAATTGATGTGGGGCTTACTGTCCGGGACTCCCGTCCATATTATTGTGTAAACCGCACGAAAAGTTAATTGGCCTGGAAAAACATGATAATTCTATTGCCAGATATCAATGGACAGGAACCCATACATTTGGATCACTTTAAAGGGATCGTTTAACAATGTTAAATCTGAGATGCACGGCCCTACGTGTTATCAGTGTCTGTGATATGGTGTAATATTGAAGCCCTAAAAAATAGCGCTTCAAAATGATCAAGAAGTGCCTCACAAAAGTAAAAACCTTTGAGTGACCGGTTTTACCATACTCGTTTCCCCCAATAGACTGTAGTGTTATGAAAACCGTTTGGCAAACGGTTTTTCAAAATGTGTAATTCCAATCATAAATATCTTGATAATCAGACAGGCGATCGGCCTGTAAAAGTCATGAGGTTCCTGACTGACCTACAGGTTTATAATTATCATTGCAGCATGATCTAAATCCAGGATATTGTTTCAGAATCTGAGACAAAGTTACCGGATCCCTTTAAACTCCTCTAGCACCGTAATGGCATCATTGCTAAAGCCAGGCTAATAATCGAGAGCGCTAGGAGTGTCGAGTCTGACAGTTATGAGCGCTTTACAAGAACCCATTATGATTATTATGCATGCGTAAATAGTTTTACTTTGATGTTTAGGCCCTATTTCTATTTCACATCATATACATTTAGATTCAATTTTATGACGAATTTGACTATACACTCTGTATGGTGGAAAATTATTGTTATCCTAAACGTAGCCAACTTAAATTTTCTTGGTTCTTCAACCTATACATTCACATTTTAGTAACATGAAAATATAATTAGGTCTATCGTGAATTCTCAAAAGAAAACATTGTCTTTACGGGTAAGGAAATATTTGTATTGCTGGACAGATAATCCCGACGTGTGTAGTCCTCTTCGATTGCTTCCCAATGGGTCATATAGATGTAGACACACTCATTAAGACATGCTGATCGACACTGTGTTTCGCCTAGGAAATTACAGCGTATTTTATGTTTTCGAATAATTGATTTAGAGGAAATTTGTATTAATCATTTTTCTCATAACAAGCAATATAATCTAAATAAAACTCACAGCTGTATTACATGCGCTACTCACAAGTGGAAACTGACAGAGAAAGGAAACGATGGTGTCAAAGAAACTTACCAACTTTACAGGTATCTTGAACTTGGGTTGTTCTTATACTTGTCAGTAGTAAATCCTTAGGTGCCAATGAGAATGGTACATAACAGAGCGCTGACACAGACAGGTATGTATGCGGAAAGTTACTGAAGGGAATTTGTTGACATTTCTAAATAGTGTCACACACACACACACACACACACAAACACACGCAAACACACCTAAGCATGCATGCAATACGCTTCGATATGTTATTCTTTTTATCTGCTTCATTCAGATTTCAAGAATGATTTTGGGAAATTATCGTCGAGCTGTATTTCCCTGATTTCAGTATTAAATTCCTCTGATTACGATAGCGATATATTAACACATGTATGGCACTTATATTAACGAAAATCGAATTTGAAAATTCAAAAGAAAATAAAACAGTGACTGGAAAACCAGAGCCTGACATAACGTTAACCCACATAACTAAAATAACATGTTTACATTTGCAAACCGAAGATTTGGAATGATCTAGATTCGCTAGTATACCAGATTTCAATCAATGAATTGTGGGAAAAGTACTCAAAGGAGCTGGCAGATGATATATATTTGAAACACCTCCCCCCCCCCCCCCCTCCAGCCCCCCAAAAAGAAAAGCTTTCTACCTAGGAAGAGACTCAAGGTTTGCATTTGTTTGAAATGCCCGCTACGCCCACTATATATGACGTGATTAGATTTGCACCACAATGCCCATCAGGACCAAAGAAGTGTAAAATACCTATTTTATAGTTCTGTGATCAGGACCGACTCACTGAGCGAGAGATATGAATTACTTTGTTTGTTTTGTCAGCTCTTGATGTGTGAATTTTCCTCTGGTTTCGTTTTTGGACCACTTGGCTCGACTGACGTGCACCAGCTGCCTGCTTAGAAGAGACCTCTCATGTCACTTGTTGCCAGTTACTTTTATTGGATATAATTGGATAAATATTTCTGAGGAGAGGACTCGACGCCTCATACCACGATTTATTTCGTATTGAGCAGGATCTAGGCAAACAGTGAGTATGATTTTGTTGATCCAACCAATAGCCACTACATAAGTTCATCAGAATAGAGTTATATACAATCCATGTATATCTCAATTCTTAGTAATTATCATAAACAATTTGAATAAATGTTTTAGTATCTTGAGAATGCTGAGAAGGTGGACCATATCCACATTTAAGCAAGACTTAAAGCCACACTGTACTACTTGTAGCTACTTACTCCCTCTATATAGAAACTAATGCCTAATCAGTGACCATTGGTCCCCCATGATCCTCTTTTTCTTATGTTAATTGAGAGCTAAGTTGATGAGATAAGTGTACCTGTCCAGGGACCTTTCATGGTGGTCTTATCCCTCCTATAAACTAGTAAAGATAAGCTTTAAAGATACTCTGTCCCTTTTGCAGTCAACATCATATTCTGTAAAACTTTGAAGGAATTATGAATATATGTCATGCATGTCCTATCTGTGAAATTTAAACGTTTAATAGCAGTGTCCTAATATTCAAATTATGCAAGGAAATCTGTTTACTTGCTAGACTCACTGTCAGACACTCACTATATTATTGAGTGACTGACTGGATTTTTTCTTCCTTGGTATTAACATACATACAATGAGCTTTAAAGGGTAATGAGCATTTGTCTACATCAATAACCCACTTCTTGTAACGGCTAAAATTAAACTGATTGAATCTTTGCGAGGCATAACACGTACGACCATTCGGTACAATGGTCTGAAAATCAGACTATTACTTACTGGTTCTATAGCTGTTAAGTCGATTTGACAACTAATCGTCGTTTTTCCCCACTTAAAGACATCTTCAAGCCCCTTTTATTTTTAGGGAAGTTCTAAATTAGTATTTACTATCAAATTCCGTTGGAAATTAACCTTTTCATTTTTGGGGCCTGCAAATGGGACATAGTACCTTAAAAATGACTCGGTAGCATTGTTGAAGGTTGATGAAAAAAATGTTTAATTTTGTATAAAATATGTAATTTTTGTATTAAATGTTACTTATTATATTCCTTCTACTGTACTAACCCTCTAACAGGCAAACAATCCTGAAAAAATTCTCAAACCACAAAGATATTTCTAGTTTTCTATGAAGGTGTCACTGTGAAATACTTTCGAACAGTGATTAGCAGTAAATTCTCCCAACCATTTTTGAATTTTCCCAACCGTTTTTCCTTGACAATAAGTCATAAAACAGACTATACACAATCTTTCAACACTTGCATGTCTGGAATGGTATATAAAGCCAATTCATTGCTCTGCGACGATTTACATTCACCTAAAATGTAATTAAATTGTAATAATATAGTTGGGAGAATTAAGGAATCAATCAGATCAGTTTTCCCCAATTTAATCGTAAATAATGGTCCCTTTTCACTCAAACTTTCAGATTATCTTTAATTGCACATCTAGCATTGAATACACTACCTTAGCACCTTTTTCTCTCATCTTAACAATATTATTAAAGTCCCTTTAAGGTTACCAAGTCTATAACTGGGCAAGAATAAGTCATTTTGGATCTGGTAACGTTTGGAATATCATCTTGCTCGAAACGATTCCCCCCAAATTCCCGGTAGGATAGTGGACTTTTCATTTAACCTAAGAAAGGTCTTTCCGATGAAGATGTGTTGATGTTTGTTGTTGTTGTAGTTGATAATCATGGTGGTCATTTATGACATCTTGTCGGTAGAGAACTATTTACACATTCGGGAAATGTCAGGCAATTTGCATAATTTGCATAGATTTTGTATTCCAATGTTCCATGATGATGCATGATAGGCGTGTTCCCGGCTTCTGAATAGGCCCAAATCTAGATATTTAAAATAGATAAATACAATTTGCATTCTTCTCCTTTGGGTGCTGAGAGAATGAATATCATCTCTCTGGTTCTAGGACGCCTACCCCCTAAACATCCACCCCCTGATAACCACCCCCAGTCAACTACCCCTAGGACAACGACCCCCTAGGGCCACCACCCTCTAGGACGACTACCCCCGGACAAGTAACCCCAGACAACTACCCCCTAGGACAACTACCCCGGACAACTACCCCCCAGACAACCACCCCCTACAACAACCATCCCCTAGGTCAACTACCCCTCGGACAACTATCCTAGGGGGTAGTTGTCTTGGGGGTAGTTGTCCAGGGGTAGTTGTCCTATGGGGAAGTTGTCATAGGCGGTAGTTGTCTGGGGGTAGTTGTCCAGGGGGTAGTTGTCCTTGGGGCATGGGTGTCGATCCCGGGGGGGGGGGGGGTGGGGGATATATCAGGTGGGGGGGGGATGGCCTGTACAATCATCTCTCCCCCCCCCCCACAATAATGCTCCATACAAAAAATGAAGAGAAAAATGAATGATGAGAGCCCGATGAGAGTAGTTAATGGTTATTACTCGCAAGATGACCATCAATATACACATTTTGCTATCTCATTTTCATAAATTCTCGTATATTATTGTAGCAAGGAATGTTTGTATCAAAACGGTACGAAGGAATACCCAAATTTGGACATGCTTACACTTCAAATAGTTTTCCATTGTAATTTTCTCTTTAGAATCTAATCGACAAACAAGTTTTTGAGCTTCTAAGCACCCACGCTCCTCGGGTTATGTCTGTCTGAATTTTCTCGTATATTGTTTTAGCTTGGGAATGTTTTTATCAAAGCGGAACTGAAAAATACCCCAAATTGGACAAAGCTTACACTGCAAGTTCCCAAACCGTTTTCCATTGCAATTTTCTCTTTAGAATCTAATCGACAAACAAGTTTTTTCGAGCTTCCAAGCACCCATGTTCCATAGGTTACAATCAGTGACCATAATTTCTTTTAAGTAAAATCTACCAGCGTGAATATCATTACACAATGATTTCAATCAAGGTACGTTTCTTTTCAGAATATTCCTTTCAAATGTGTTTTTCTTTCTTCTTTTACACCAGCCGCTGGGCCTAGATTTGTGTGGTTTGCAGGTAGAGTCACTCTTCTGTATGTCTCTCTCTCTCTGTCTCTCTCTCTCTCTCTTTTGTGTCGAAAAAGCCAAGGTCCTTGCGTAAACCCATATCCTTTATATACTCTAAACAAAGAAGCAGAAAGAAAAGCAGAACACACATAACACATTCCCTAAACCACAGTTGTTTTCAATCTACAGAAGAAAATTCGTTAGGCAGCGAGCAAGGTAACTTGTAGAATCGTAAAATGTCGGGTAATGAATGACATAATTATTTCAATGGCTATACTGATTTTAAAAATCATTAAAATAATCCCAGTCAGACAATGTCGTACATATACCTTAAGCACAATCAAAGCAGTCTTAAGTGGTTGCACTCTCCCGCTCAAGTCAATGAATTAATTACCCACAATGTCGTTGGCAGACTAATATACAAATAATGCTAGAGGGCGCTTTCAGAGGAGATGGTAGGGGATTTAACCCTCTTGCAAAATTTGCGATTTTTGCCATCTTCTTGGTTTTCTTCTACCACTTTTGTCACTTTAAGTCATGTCAGTGTGCAATATTTGTCACTTCTATTCGTTTGTGATGAGATTTCCATCGTGAATAGGCAAGAACTCCGACATTTTCAACCGCATATAATACAGAGTGAGTACGAAACATATACGTTATATATAGGGCCTATAGGCTATAGACCTAACATTGTACGTTGCGCCGTAGACACACGCCAACTATACAATTCGTCGTTAAACTCCATTGTCACTTGCCGGATATATATTCTTTACAATCAGTGGAGCGATGACATTCAGTATGTTGTACTACATGACTTTACTAGGCATATATATGCTATGTAATGTCACCGGAACCAATGGCCGCCAATTTACAATCCCTACAATCCATGAAAACCAATGGCGTGAACTCAATCATGATTTATCGTCACTACTAGCACCGGCACACTTTGATCTTTGTAATGGACTCATAAACCCAAAACAGGCGGGAGATACTTTTTCGGAAGTGTTAACAGAATTTCTCAAATCAGTGCCAGAAATTTCAAATAAGCAATCTGATAAATATATATCTCACGAACCTAAGACACTAGCGGCAGCACGAAAAAAGAAGAATGCCCTCCGAA